AGATGTTGGAGTGAGTTACATTCCACGATGTTTCCAATGAAGCGAATAAATGCCATTTTTGGCGATATTGATTCCACAACAACAATCAATAAAAAATTGGAGTCACACGTCAGATGTAAAAAAGAATAAGTGTTGTGGGCTTTTGCTAATGCGGACCCGCACATGTCATTAGTTATGAAGTCATGCAAATTCATCCCTCAACAAAAACTAAGTTCTTTACCTATTTTTCACAATGAGGAGGGTGTTGTGTAGCCTAGGGCTTTGGGGCTGTAGAGCTTTGAGGAAGAGCTGAAAACACGTAGAAGGCTGAGGCAGAGAAGAAAAAGATTCAACCTTAACCTTTTTATCAACAATTTTCTCTTTTAACCCCTTTTAAGTTTGGAAATTTTTTGTCATTAAGTCCATCAATAATAATTTCTCTCACATAAGTCCTTAACTAAAATCTTAAGGTTTTAGAAAATTTTTGGGATATTAAATCCACCCCTCCTAAAAATAAGTTTAGTCCCCTAAACTTGTACCTCAATCTTGGCAAAGGTGCGGATGTTCCTGCCTCATTGTGGATTCTAACTCTTAAGTAGCTTCCTTAATTGAATGGTTATCCCAAAGAACCTTAACAAAATGAATAGTCCTCTTCCGCATTGTCCTTTCCTTGAAATCTAAAATACAAATTGGGTGGTCGTCATAAGTTTGATCTTCTCGAAGTTGAATGGGTTCGAGATTGATGATGTGGTTTGGGTCGAGAACATATTTCCAAAGTAATGACACATAAAACACATCATGAACACCCGTTAAATTCCCAAGCAATTGCAATCTATAAGCTACTTAGCCAACCTTTTCTAAGATAGGATATGATACAATATACCTCGGACTCAATTTCCCTTGAATGCCAAACCTAAGGACACCTCGAGTGGATGACACCCGCAAAAATACACGATCACCAACTTCAAACTCAAGGTCACGCCTCCTTCTATCTGCATAACTTTTTGGTCTACTCTGTGCAGCACGGAGGCATTCTTTAATCAATTGCAGAATCTCAGAAGACTATTGTACCAACTCTGGGCCTAAAATGCTCTTTTCACCTACCTTAGTCTAGCAAACAGGTGATCTACACCTTCGGCCATATAAAGCCTCATATGGTGCCATGCGGATGCTAGACTGGTAACTATTATTATATGCAAATTCAACCATATATAAGTGCTGGTCCCATTAACCCTTCCAATCAAGAACAGAAGCCCTCAACATGTCTTCAAGTATTTGAATAGTCTTTTCAAACTGCCCGTCAATTTGAGGGTGGAAGGCTATTGTACCAATCAAGAACAGAATCTCAAAAGACTATTGTACCAACTCTAGGCCTAAAATGCTCTTTTCACCTGCCTTAGTGTAGCAAACAGGTGATCTACACCTTCGGCCATATAAAGCCTCATATGGTGCCATGTGGATGTTAGACTGGTAGCTATTATTATATGCAAATTCAACCATATATAAGTGCTGATCCCATTAACCCTTCCAATCAAGAACAGAAGCCCTCAACATGTCTTCAAGTATTTGAATAGTCTTTTCAAATTGCCCATCAATTTGAGGGTGGAAGGCAATGTTGAAATTTAAATGAGTGGCAAGTGCTTGTTGCAAGCTTGTCCAAAAATGAGATAAGAATCTCGTGTCTCTATCAGACACAATGGACAAAGGGACTCCATGAAGTCTGACTATCTCATTCATGTACATATTGGCAAGCTTCTCAATGGATGTGCCGGTTCGGTAACAGTAAAAGTGAGCTGACTTGGTTAACTGATCAACTATAACCCAGATTAAATCATTTCCTTTTAAGGTTCGCGGTAAACCCATCACAAAGTAAATGGTAATATTCTCCCACTTCCATTGGGGAATAGGTAAAGGCTACAATTTCCCAAGAAGTCTTTGGTGTTCAGCCTTAACTTTTTGGCAAGTCAAGCATTGCGAGACAAATCTAGCTATCTCCCTCTTCATGTTTCACCACCAAAATGTACTATGCAAGTCACAATACATCTTGGTGCTACCTAGGTGAACTATGTAACTGTTATTATGAGCATCCTCCATGATCTCACGCCTTAAGGCATGATCTCTTGGTACACACAATTGGTCACCAAACCACAAGGTTTCATCGTCAACAACTCTGAATTCTTGCATGTGGGGTTCCCCTACCTTTACCTTCTCTTTCAACCCCTACAAGAAAAGATCGTTTTGTTGGGCACGTTTAATTCTAGTTATTAATGTTGGTTATCCACTAAGAGTGGCTAGATAGGCTTTAGTATTGTCCAATCTTAACTCCACATCCAATTTAGCAAGATCCTCAAGTAACTCCTTCTGGGTGGCAAAGATGCTAGAGGCAATGCCAGAGGACTTGTTACTCAATGCATTTGTTACTTTCTTGGCTTTACTTGGATGGTAGCTAATGGTCAAGTCATAATCCTTCAGAAGTTCAAACCATCACCTTTGCCTCATGTTAAGCTCCTTTTGAGTGAAAATATACTTAAAACTCTTGTGATCAGTGAAAATTTCACGAGTTTCACCATATAGATAATGCCTCCAGATTTGCACTATTGCTAACTCCAAATCATGGGTAGGGTAATTTTCTTCATAAGACTTTAACTCCCATGAAGCATATGCAATAACCCAATCTTTCTGCATCAAGACACATCCCAAAGCCTTTTTAAAGGCATCACTATATATAGTGAATCTTTCCCCATTGATGGGAAGTGCAAGTATAGGAGCAGTAACCAACTTCTCCTTAAGGGTCAAAAAGCTCTTATCACACTCTGGAGTCCACTTAAATTTGGTGCCCTTCCTAATAAGACGAGTCATTAACAGAGCAATTCTAGAAAAATCCTCCACAAATTGGTGGTTATGACCAGCCAATCATAGAAAACTACAAATTTCTGCAACACTATTTGGTCTTTTCCAATTAGCTACAACCTTAATCTTCTTAGGGCCAACAAAGATTCCATACTTAGTCACAACGTGACCTAGGAATGCAACACTATCTAGCCAAAATTCACACTTCTTAATTTAGTAAACAACCTCTCCCTTCTGAATGTCTCAAGAACTGTCCTTAAGTGCTCTTCATGAAAAGCATGGTTAGAAGAGTAAATCAAAATGTCGTCAATGAAGACAACCACAAACTTGTCTAAATACTTGCTAAATACTTGATTCATCAAATCCATAAATCCTACAGGGGCATTCGTTAAGCTAAAAGGCATAACCAGAAATTCATATTGGCCATAGCAAGTATAGAAGGTAGTCTTCGGCACATCATCAGGCTTAATCTTCAACTGGTTATAGCTAGATCGAAGATCAATCTTAGAAAACACTTGGGCACCCTTGAGTTGATCAAACAAGTCATCGATTCTAGGAAGTGGATATCGGTTCTTCACAGTCACTTTATTTAGCTCTCGGTAATCAATGCACAGCTTCATGTTCTCATCCTTCTTTTTAACAAACAACACTGGAGCTCCCCAAGGTGACACAGTAGGTCGTATAAACCCTTTTTCAAGGAGTTCCTCAAGCTGGACCTTTAACTCCTTCAATTCTACAGGAGCCATATGGTACAGGGATTTGAAAATTCAATCTCTCTATCCGAAGGTAAACCTAGAAGCTCCTTTGGAAATACATCTGAAAACTCACACACCACAGGTATATCTTCTAGTCTCGATGTCACATACTAACATCAGTGACAGAAACTAGGAAACCCTTGCAACTATTAATAAGGTATTTTTGAGCTTGTAAGGCGGATATTAGCATAGGTGGAGCAATAGAACCATTGCCCTAGAAACTAAATTTTAGCTCACCAGGAATATTGAAAACTACCCATTTCCAATGGCAATCTATGGAGGCAAAATATTTTGACAACCAATTCATCCCCAAAATGTTGTCAAAATCAGAGATATCTAAAATAAATAGATCAATACTCAACTATCTACCATCAATATAAATATTTACAGTCCTACACACATCTTTAGTAGTCATCACCTCTCCTAAAGGGGTTTCCACATGCAATTCAAAATCAAAGGTATCAATAGGTAAAGCTTGTTTCCAAGCATAAGATCGAGCAATAAAAGAATGTGATGCACCCAAATCAAATAAAACATATGCATAATCAAAATTGACAGGAAAAATACTCGTGATTACGTTTGTAGCCGTAGCTTCCTTATGAATCATCACGTGAACTTTTGCTTGTTGGGCTCTTGTCCTAACCCCGACATTCTGTTTTTGCACCCTTTAATTAGTAGAACCCTGTTGAGATGTAGTTTGAGTACTCTGAGCTCTAGGGTCTGACTACGGGCAATTTGCAACCCAATGTCCATGCTTGCCACATCTGAAGCAAGCCCCAGTAATAGCACGATGTTGGTCACGAGTGTGACCAACTTTCCTACAATTGGAGCAAACAAGCTGAGTAGAACGAGTATGCTGAGCTACTGATGCTTGGCCCTCAGTCTTACTAACTCTTAGATTTTTGGAAATTTTGCTAGTCTCAGAGTTATGTGGTGTTAGGGCAATGGGTTCATAACCCCTATCAAATTTCCTCTTTGTAAAAGATGGCCTAACTTTTTGCTGCTCTAATGTCTCGACTCTAGCCATAACCTTCTCTTGATATATGGCTCTGTCTGTTACCTCCTTATAAGTGGCGGGTTTGAATTGGTTCACCTCCAAATAAATATCGAGATTCAAGCCCTATAAAAATTTATCAACCTTGGCCTGCTCATCCCCAACTTGACTACCTACAAAGGGTAGGTAATGGTCAAACTCCTTCTTGTACTGCTCAACAGTATGTGACCCTTACTTTAGATCAGCAAATTCCTTTTGTAGCTCACGCCTTTTGCTATCAGGTATGTATTCCCGCATGAACACCTTCTTAAAACCATCCTAGGTGCTTAATTCAGGTTCTCCTTGGTGTAGCTTCAAGTAATTCTCCCACTAAGTTAATGCTTCACCTGTAAGCATATAACTGCCCACATCAACCTTAAGGTCATCAGAAATTTTCAATAGGCGAAATCTCTTCTCCACCTTGATAATCCATGACCCAACCACTCAAAACCCACTGTACCACCAAATCTCTTAGTCACCACCTTCTGGAATTATGTGTAAATGTTCCAGCTAGGTACAATAAGAGTAGAAGAAATAAGAGCAAGAGCCGTAGGAGTGGAAACCACTGAGGATGGAGGTGGCACGTTAGTGGCAAAAGATGCTTGTCATCTTATCTCCACCATGAATTCCTGAACAAACATAACCATCTGAGGGTTATTCGCCCCTCCTTCTTGAGCAGTAGCTTGGGCAAAGGGACTAGCAGCCAGAATTGGAGGAGTGCTATTATCCTCATGGCCACCCGTCGTGCCCCTACGGCATTTTGGAGCCATCTATAAACATATAAAAGGTTTATAGACAGTTAATCAAGTATCCTAAATAAGAAAAGACAAGACAATTCCCCATTTCCGAAACCAAGTAACACAATCATCAACAAATCCAATACACAATCAAGAGACCAGAACTTTTAACCTAATATTTAAGAATAATTATTCTAACTCATCATAACACTGAGTAGAACTTAAGAACCACAGCATCCACAAGTCATAATCAAGCAACAAGTCTCAATAATAACAATAAAATTTTATACATGAGGAACATCATAATCTAAGAGTAAGAAAAATTTTTAACAAGTCAAGAGTTCATCTAAGCAAGAATCAAATAAGCGTCCCTGATTAACCCCACTCTCATGCCTCACCATGTTCCTAGAATCCATTGGCTAGCCAAGTTCTAAACTAGTCCTAGGTATTTAGTTAAACCTAAACTTTGATGTCACAAAATCTGTCACGCCCAAAACCTAAATCCAGGGGTGAAACAGATGCCATACACTTGTGAGAGGATCCCACAAATGCACAAGGCCTAGAACCTTCTAATTTCATAACTAATAATCCATAGTCTTAATATTACATCTAATTTTATAACCAATATTTGACTAGGCTAAAGTGCACAAAAATTTTACAACTTCATTAATGAAGTCAACACTATCTCAAGGGAATCTAGTCTACAAAATGATCTATCTTCCATCATCTATGTCCAAAATATATGAGACTAGCATCCTAACTCCATGATAATCTAGATCCAAAACACAAATGGCTAGCCTACAATATCGTCACTTCCTTTTGTTTCCCCATCTCTAGCTTCGCTACCTGAAGTGGTGGACAAGGAAAAACTATATGAGATAACTTAGTAAGTAAAAATATGGATAACCTTCATTGAAATTTTTAAAGCATGCCGAGTAAGCATTTAAAATTTAAACAGGAAGGAAATCTCAATTATAAATAATTTATGCATATTGAAATTTTATTTAGTGGTCCCCTTAATTAGTCATGGCCAATGTACTTTCCCAACGAGCTGGATAACAGAAATACCAATGTACTATCCCATTGGCTGGATAGCAAAAAATGCCAATGTACTCTCCCACTGGCTGGATGAACCGGCTCTATAGAAATACAAGTCGACATGTTCTAGTGTTTAACTCCCACTGGCAGGATAATAGAACTCATGACCATATTGGAGACAACACCATGCAGGAGTTAACAATAAAATTCAAAATTTGCAAACCAATTTCAGATTTCTCGAACAAACAGAAAACTCCATGTAGGCATGCTCAGTTTAATAAAAATAATAACAATTTTCATTTCAAATTAATCATGCTTAAGTGCTAATAAAAATTGGGTTAGATCCCACCACCATCTCAAAACAGTTTAAAATATGCTTTTAAAAGCCTTTACCTTAAAATCCAAGGAAATTTACCATAATTTCTACTTAACTCTTCTTGTAGGCTTACAACAGCAAGTATTTAGGGTTTCAAGGAGATGGTGGTGACTTAGAACCTATGCCACATTAAAGAAAAAACAAGATTAAAATGTACCTCATTCAGTTAAATTGGCTTCTAATTCCAAAAAATAAAGTTTCTATCTAAGGTAACATTTTCTTCCTACACACCCTTAGTATTTCTACCCCTTTGAAATCTTATTAACATATAAATATGTTTAACCACACTTAGAGTATGCTTAAAACAGCCCTCATTGTCTCACACAACAACAGCATTTATGGGCAAAACAGTAGCAGCAAAACAATGTTGAAACAAGCCAAAACTGGGCAGTATTCAAGCAAAAATGTAGTAGAAAAAAGGCAACCAAAACAAAGCAATAACAAGGGGTTTTAGAGCATGAAAACAACATCTAAAATCTAGTAAAATCATGATGTAATATGGCAGTGGATAAGGTGGTAATAAAACAGAAAAGAGAGCAATTTCTGTCAAATTCGGGTCAAATTTCGTGCTGAAATTTCCAACAGAATTCACACCCAGAACTTGACTGATCTAGGTTGAGTGGTCAACAGATACATTGTAGCCCTATGTCTTAAAATTCTATAGGCTTAAGAATTACCTTAATTCGACATCTACAAAGGAAGTTATGGTCAAAATAGTGACTATAGGTCGGGCTGCCAATTCAGCCCCCTTGCAGGATCCGAAATTACAGTAAAGTTTTCACCTTGAAACAGCTGATTTGGGTTAAGTGTCCAACATAAAAATTGTAGGGTTATCTCTTAGCTTTCCATAGAATGAAGAATGAACTCAAAACAATTTCTATAGAAAGAGTTATGGGTAAATTACTACAAAAGGGTCATGTAGTCTGAATTTCTGGCAAGTAAAGGAAATCAGTTTCTGGTGGTATTTATCATGGACAAAATCAAGGGGAAAACTACAAAAAATTCCCAAAATTGAAAACCCTAAAGGATTAGGGTTAACCCACTTCGAATCATAGAGGAAAAAATGAGTGATATGGTTGATTTCTTACCAAAAAATGCTGAAAATGGTGATGGACAACAATCCAAAACAGATCAACAGATTTGAGGGTGCAGCAACCAAGATCTGAACTATTGTTCACGATTTTGAGAATTATAAACCTATTAATCTCTATATCTTGCTAGGAGAAGGAAGAAAACCAAGTTCCTTACCTATTTCTCACAGTGAGGACGATGTTGGGCGGCCCCTCATATTCATGGTGTGTTGCACTAGACAAGAAAACAGAAAAAGAAACTTTAGTCTTATATTCCATATCTCAAGACTTTATCTAACTAGATGACACTTGGCAAATCCATGTATTAGCAAAAGTCTAGGCTTTTATACCAAAAACTGTAACAACTCTTTTTCATATCTATATGATATACGTATATGCCCTAGGGACCTACGTACATGTACAAAGAATGTTTCATGCACCATGCAACAAACCATCAAAATATGCAACTTGTGCCCAATTATGTATGACATGAGCAAAGTTTTGAGATCTTCATAATTTAAAATCCAAAACATAGTTTTTACATCAAATACTAAATAACGATAAGTCATTAAAGTACTTATTACATATCAAGATATCAAAGGTTGTGGTAATACATAGATTTGCCACTACCCATCGAAGCATTACCTACCAAACTTAAAGAGAAATGAGAGATGGCTCTACCACAAAAATAAACTCTGAGGATGAAGAACTAAATATATGGGAAAGGGAAAAAAAAACTAAAACAAAACTTTTGGTGAGTTATAAACTTAGTATAAGTAGAATGTATTATAAAATATTTTACAACCAAGGTATACAAATAAGTAAAATATAGAATAATTGCACTTACTTATATATACCCACACACATCATCTCAATCAATCAAATCATAACTTAATTTTATAGCACGAGTTTACAAGATCACTAAGCATGTGTAACCTGACTATTTCCACTAAGTAAATCACAAAGCATATAACCATATAAATATAATCATAGTCATGGAGTAATTGGGGTTAACAAGCCAATACAACCCCATCATGCTATCTTTTTGTGATAGAGCATGTCATTCATTATAATGCATCATCCTACAATGTAAAGGGCACCTCGAGGTAAAATATCCACAAAGATCCACAAAGTATGCCATTATATTTCAAATGGGGTTAAGTCTTAATGACATAATATACCAAAAAGCATACCACTATTGTATTCTAATTTTGAATTTAAGTTCAGCTTCAACATTTTATGTTCCTTTCCCACAAAGTAGCTATCTTAAAACCTAAAGAACATAATCAAGTTAAAAATCAAGAATTCACCAAATACATAAAACTAATATCTTAACCAATGAAAATAATTACTAGCATAACCATATCTACCAAGTACCTTCATTACATTTTTAAACCAATGTTATGCCATACAAACTTTGTAACTCAAGCTCAACCCAAAATCATTAGGATTCATAGGTTATGAAATACACTTAGAAGACATCTTTTATAGATTTGTTTTAAGCTATAAACCTTACTTTAAAACTTTACACATGCATTAAAAGTATAGAAAGTGAAATAAATTTAAAACAATACTTAATTAAGTGATTGAGCTATGCTATGAATAGTGCCAGTAAATAGCACCCATGAACAATAAAAAAAATACACATTTGCTCAAATTAAGTCTAAACTCCATCAAACACCAAGGTTTCAAAGTATATATATCCATTTCAATTGTAATAATCAATTTTAATTTTACAAAGCATATCAACATAAGTATTATAACAATTAATTTCACAATAATCTTCAACATATCATAAAACTCATTTTAAACTCCATTAATTCAATTAACAAAGTTTATGGCATTTAAATCAACATTGGCATTAATCAAACCTTTAGGCAAAATTAGGAATTCTCTAATTTTGGGTAGAAAAGAGGAAGAAATGGAGGATTGAGAAAAAAGGAGAAAGATAAAGGGGCCTTTCCCTCCAATACTCCACTTTTTCCTTTACTTATTTCCAATGTTCACACTAAAAGTAGTATATAAACCATATTTTAACTTAAAATATAAAGCCAATACCCATCTCCAACCTCAAATTTAAAATTTCATAAACCCCAAAATTAGAAATAAACGAGCTAAATTAAGATTCATTGATCAATTTATAAAATAAAGATGATTAATAGATAGATCAAAATTAGGAGCATCATATATGTCAAATCCAACAAGATCTAAGTAAACTCATTTCAAACTCTAGAACTTAGCTCATAAAATAACTTAAAATCTAGACCTTCCTTGGTAAAATACTTACAAAATATGACTTTAGCAAGTTAAAAACCTTGGAATAGCACCCACTTTGGCCCTAACTTGGAAGTTAGAAGAGAAAACCTTCAAAGAGGAGCTTCCATGGAGGTGGTGGGCTTCCTTCACCAAAAACTAGAATTTTTTTGGTTCAACCCTCCTTCTTCCCCTTTTGCATTTGTCTTAATCTCTATAATTACAAAATTGCCATTAATAAATGCCTTGTCTTTGACTAAGGTTTGACTCAAGCTAAATTAAGCTAAAACAAATCACTTAATAGCTTTTTTGAGCATAAATGAATACTATAATATATTTTATATCATAATATGTCATATTCTATGTTTCTATATATAAAATGGCCACAATGCCCTTATTATACTTTTTTATCAATTAATAAGCCTTTTTAACTAACTTAAGGTATAACCAATATTATATAACTATCAAAATTAATCTATAATACCATGGCCTTATCCAGACACTCGTTTCTTTATTTTCTACTCAAGGAACTCAACTTTACTTAAATGGACACTTTGGTTCCAAAATTTACATTTTAAGCATTTAAGAGTAATTAAGGGAAAATATGAAATTAAGAAAATTATGGGGTGTTACACAAGCGAATTACCATTTTGGAATGTTAAAAGCTTGTAATAGGAAGTTTTGTTTATGGAATTGCATAATTTACTGCCCAAGTCACTAATCACAATTGGTGAACTATTTTTAAGTTTATGGATTTTTAAAATGAGATGAGATGAATTTTGGGTTAGGTAGTACCAAGTTGTTGCATAACCTAATTCATGCATTTGAGATTTTTGTGTCTAAAGTGGTCTAAAGGTTTATTTATGTTGTTATGAGCTTTGTTATGGAGTCTTTAGCCTAGGTATAAGGGGTTGTCTAATGCTATAAGAATTTGGCATTATAATTGAAAACCTTTAGTTGATTATTTTTGAGGTTACCTATGCACAATAAGTGGTACCGACATGAGCTAGGTGTTAGTGTACTAGCACACTTAGGTTGGACTCCATAGTTATGGTTATCTTTTGGGATTTCCATTTGTTAATTCGCATGATTTATATTTTCATATTAATTTCCAGAAATTTGATGATATTGATTTTGGACTTAGTTTTTCCCCTTGCACTTATTCTTACTAGCATTTTAGCTAACTCTGTTTTCTTTCTTTTGCCAAATTAGTAGGTTGGAGCTTAGGAACAAGCCTACATAGCTATTTTCAATTAGTAGGATTGTTCATATTTTTAGAGGTGGGACTTCAGTATTAGTCATATCAATAAACCTCGTATACCAAAACTATGGTTTTTGATGTACATATTTGAAAATGTATGTCATGCCCCAAAACCCAAATTCAAGGTGCGACAGACGCCGTACACTCGTGAGAGGGTCGCACAAATGCACAAGGCTTGGAACTTATCATACCACAATCTGATACCACGAAATCTGAAGATAAAATTTGCTCTAATATCATAAAATCTCCAAATAAAGTCTAGTTTATAAGATCACGATTTATATCTAAAATCTATGCTCCATTTACAAGATGGCTAGCCTTCTAACTCTCACTCCCCTTGTTTTTCCCCATCCTTGACTTCGCTTCCTGAAATGGTGGACAAGAAAAAACTATGAGATAACTCAGAGAGTAAATATGGATAGCCCTTAATTAAACTTATAGCATGCCAACAAGTATAATCATGAAAAACAGGTACGAGTACGGAAACAAAATAGACGTCTCCTCTATAGGTCATGGCTAGTGTTATAAACCTCCCACTGGCAAGCTACACTATTTACAAGTGTATAATCCCCACTAGCAGGGTCACTCGAACGAACCAGTTCTATCAATAACATGTCGACATGTGGTAGAGTTTATAAACCTCCCACTAGCGGGCACACGAATAACATGACCATATCGGAGACAAAACCAGGCAAGATTTACAGAAAAATCATAATTCACAATTAATTTCCAAATCATCAGGGCAGTTAAGTAAAATCCAAGAAGGCATGCTCAAATCAATAAAAAGAATAATAGTTTCATTTTAAATCGATCATACTTGTGTAAAACGGGTTTAGTTCCGCCACCACTTTAAAAACAAGTTAAAACATGCTTTAAAATCGGAGGGCGTTACCATAATTTACTTACCTCAATCGCATAACATAGAAATTCACTCGCATAAACCAAGGACTCAATCCAAGTGCTAGGGCAACCAATGATCAAGGACCTAATCAAAATACCCAAGAATTAATACCGCACTACCACAAATTCAAAGTGAAATCATCATTAGGACTACCCTTAATCATGATGTTATTTCTATCAGTTTCCACATGACTGGACATCTCCAAATTTATTTTTATATTACAAACTAAACATTTAATCCCCGTTAATTGTTGGCCATTAGTGCGTGAACAGTATCCGTGAACAGTGATCACGCCATGAACAGTAACTGCACTTCCATAAATTGGCAAAACAATAGCTAATTCACGGGATTTTTCTCTAGACAAATTCACAACAATTACTCAAGCTAATTTCCACTTAATTTAAACAAAACCCACTTAAAGCTACCGAAATTCCCCCATTTTTTCAACAAAATTCGGACAACACAGAGCAGCCACAACAAGGACCAAATTCAGCAAAGGCAACAACCAATTGGATAAAATTCGGACTTAAGGGAGGTTGTCAACTTACCCACAATTTTCCAGCTGCAGAACTGAACCTGGCGGAGGGAGAAGCCGGCAGCAATTCTGCAGGGGACTCGCGGAATTAACCCAAAATTGAAGGAATAAGAGGAAATTAAAGTAACCCAACTTAAATCAAAGCTAAAAGGATGAAATCATGGCTGTTTCTTACCTAAAAAATGCCCAGAATTCACACAAGCTGTAGCTTGTGGACGGCAGAGGGAGGAAGACGCAGAGCAGATCTAGAATTCTGCAGAGGGAGGGGAGGTTTCCAAGCTTAAATCTTGTTCTTGAACAAGAAAAGAAAGGCAAAAACCAAGCTTCTTACCGGTTTTCTCAAAGGAAGAGGCGTTGGTGGTGGCTGGGGCTCTTGTTCGGTGCAGGGGAGAAAAAGAATAAAAGAAACACGCGGCTGAAGAAAGAAAGAAGGAAGAAGAAATCAACCGGTCCTTATCCAATTATTTTCTCTTTTAAGTCCCTCAACTTTTGAAATATTCACTATTAGGCCCAACAATATTATTTTTTCACAATTAAGCCCCTAACTAAATGCTAAAATATCACAAAATTTTGGGATATTACAATGTATTTATGTAAGGTATTTGCCAAACACAATCTTATGATCTCAGGTTTACTGTAAACTATCATGTTTTGTGTTTTTGTTTTGGAGTCCCATACAACTTTCATAAGTAATGCGTTATAAAAGTAAATTTAAAAGAAGAAGAAGAAAAAAAAACCTTCATAGAATTTAAAGCTCTAATCAAGCCAAATTGAGTCCTGGTGGACTCTCTTAGAGGTGTTACAAGGATTTCCTCTACCCTTTCTACTAGTGCTTAAGAGTAGCTTGAAGGAGTTACTCAATCCTTGTATAATTTTTTTTTTACTTGTGAAAAAAAGTCTTGCCACCTAGTGAAGTATCACATGTGTTAGTCTTTACTTCAATTTATGTTCCATCTCAATAATGTATATGACTAAGGAACAATTTAAAAATATAGCTATTACATTGCACGATTCTCACTAATTGTGATGGTTAATTTTACTTTTTGATATAACAAACATTCCAAGAACTTTATAGATATTTAACATATGTAGAAGAGCAACAATTAATGATGTGATAAATGCAATGAGTGTAATCATAAGTATATAAAATTGTTTTGCCAACCAAGTTGGTTCACAGGGCATACTCTAACATATGCATTGTACAAATAAAATTAAGAAACATTAAATGAGATAGAACCAATATTTCATCAAAGTTATTTTTGACATATGAAGGCTATAAGTAAGCAATGTTCTGCACTTTTCCACCATGGGAACAAGATCTACACATGGAAGATCCCTTAATTTCTAGAAATTCACATCCTAGCTTCTCAAGGTCTACTTCTTCTTCTCACGCCACTATCTTTCAATCTTTTTCTCTTGTTGTAAAGCTTGATCTTGATATTGTAATGAGGAGAAATCATATAATCTCCATGAAAAAGAAATGAAAAAGAAGAGTTCATTTTCCTTTTCCTTTTTTGTGTATGATCTTTCATTATATAACCAAAAATTTGTCTCTTGTTTGAATGAGCAAGTTGCTAGGTTTCCCATCTTGTCAGCCATCTTTTATCACTCATTGGCAAGACAACTTTACCAATATGGTCTCATAAAAAACTTATGTGAGAGAGCTACCAGGTTCCTTATCTCATCAACCACTTTCTGTCACTCATTGACAAAACAACCTTTCTAGCTTGGCAATCACAGCCTCACTTGTTGATAGATTAGTTTCGCCAATTCGCTAATCACAATTTTGTCGAAGGCTTGAGGTGCAGGTCTTAACACTTGAGATCTACTTCCCTTAAGTTATATCAATGGCAAGCCTAGTCTTTTGATAGCAAGGCATCAATCTCTTCTAAAAAGCATCACCATAGCTTAGGAGTAACGTTGACCTTTTTTATCGTTCTTCAAGTTGTACTCTTTAACAAATCTATTCCCCTACACTTACAATTGACCCTCCTTTGACAAAAAACACCCCCAACACATGTTATCTTCCCAAGTTTCAAAACTCAAATTTGACAAGCTGCATCAATCTCTTCTAAAAAGCATCACCATAGCTTAGGAGTAATGTTGACTTCTTTTATCGTTCTTCAAGTTGTACTCTTCAACAAATCTATTCCCCTACACTTACAATTGACCCTCCTTTGACAAAAACACACCCCCAACACATGTTATCTTCCCAAGTTTTAAAACTCAAATTTGACAAGCCTAGTCTTTTGATAGCAAGGCATCAATCTCTTCTAAAAAGCATCACCATAGCTTAGGAGTAATGTTGACTTTTTTTATTGTTCTTCAAGTTGTACTCTTCAACAAATCTATTCCCCTACACTTACAATTGACCCTCCTTTGACAAAAAACACCCCCAACACATGTTATCTTCCCAAGTTTCAAAACTCAAATTCTAATTAATATTTTCAAAAACTAACCATTGAATTACAATTTTTTTTAAGTAACCCATGTATGTCAATTTTCATATTGATTTAATAGGCATATTAGATCAATATAAAAAGTGATATGTTTGATCTATATGAATACAATTTTCAATCCAACGGTTGGTTTTTTTGAAAATATTAATTAGAAAGTGCATTTTTAGATACATCCTCTAAAAAAATTTTGGGGAAACAACTTGCAAAACACTTTCCAAGATATAATGGAAACACTACTAAGAAACGAAGTACAATTGACAAATTTATAATCAACAACCAGTTTTTTGTCTATTATAAACATATAATCGACAAAATTGCTGTCGATGATAAAGGTAGTCGATTATGTGTTTTTAATCGACAAGTTTTATAATCAATAGCCATTTTGTCAATTATATATGTATAATCAATAAACAACTGGCTGTCAGTTATATATACAAACATAATCAACAGAAATGTTGTCGATTATAGTTCAAAATGACATTGTTTTTATAATTTAGGGTACTGTTGGTCGATAAAACTGATAGCCCATGGCTATTGGTTATGTTACACACCCGACTTCTTCTTTCTTCCTCTTATTTTCTTCTAGTTTGCTATCAATCTACTTTCTTCTCTAGCAAACTTAGCTATTGTCATTCATCCTAGCCTAAGGAGTTCGAATGCCACCTGGTCTCCAAATCATAATATGGGTGACAGTAATTTTGCATCTCTTTTGGTCTATTTTGAGTTTTTTTTTTCCTTAAATTTATAGTAGCCCATCCTGATTTCTTGTAGAGTTGTGCTTCATATCCAACCTCTACTACCTTTAGAGCACCATGTTGACTAGAAGAGTTGACCTATCATCGCTTTCCCTAGATTTCGAGACGCTATTGATGGTTGGTTTTTTACACCCATTTTTTTTCCTTGGATTTGATTTACAAGACCCCATCTTTTTGTTCTCTTTACATATTCAAATCCAGCTTCCACCTCTAGCTCCCCACATCACCACGTTGGCTAAAGACTTGTTGAAGCTTCCTTATCGGACAATCAATTTATGCACTGAGAATTTTTTTTTCCCTTGGTTTTAGATTTACAAGACATCATCTTTTGTTCTCTTTGTAGATTTGTGACCCAAATCCACCTTTACTACATTTACAACATCATCACCCCCATTGCCATAGGTAATTGGGTTCTTTTTTGTGGTTTCTTTTTTTTGCAAAATTATATAAATGTTATTGATTTTTGGATGATTATATGCTATCTCATTTGTGGATTAGTGTTGATTACTATTACTATTTTATGAGATATTAAATTTTCAATGAAGTGAAGTGATTCCATATTAAATATATATATATAAAGTTATGTATTTGAGATTTTTGAGATTGAGCTATGTATGGTTATTGAAGTGGTATTTATTTTAAATTTCTATATATAAAGTTACTTATTTCATATTATTGAGTTCGAGATTGAGAAGTGTATGGTTATTGAACTAGAGTGGTATTTATACTCAATTTCTATATATAAAGTTATTTATTTTAGATTATTGAGATTGAGAACGAGATTGAGATGTACATTGTCACTGAATAATAATGGCATTTATATTGAATTTTTTATATAAAATTATTTATTTCAAATTATTGAGATTGAGGTTGAGATTGAGATGTATATGGTTATTGACATTTTGATTATTGAGGTTTATATATTAATATACATTATCAAATTGAAATTCAAATTAAGTAATTAAATGATGGAGGATCGTACTTGGATAGATTGTTGTGTAGATGGTGGTGGTTTTGTTGCTGTTGAATTTAAAAGGGGGTGCAGTTTTTTGTTAGATTTGCATTTTCTAGACTGAATGCAAAATTAGAGATTAAGTGTTCTTGTTCAAAATGTAAATGTAGGAAATGGAGGAATCCTAAAGTTGTCTCTGTACATCTATGTAATCATGGGTTCATGAACAATTATTATATGTGGTATGTTCATGGAGAGACAACCAACAATGGAGCAAGAAACTTTGGAAGGGAATCTTCTAACAAGAAGTTTGTTAGAAATGAGGCAAATCCAATGTACCATGAAATGGTAGTTAATGCAATGGATCCATACTCTGAATACACTAAGGAACCAATGGCAAAGGAGCCAAATGGTAAGGCTAGAGAATTTTATCATATTTTGGGTGCTACAAATGTTCATATAAGTGCCAAGGGAGAGAATGCGACAATTCTTTCATGGATGCTAGAAATGCTAAACATGAAGACTCTTTATAACATGAGTGCTACTAATTTGGAGATGGCATTATCACTGAGTAGAAAGTTGTTGAGTCCAAAGGAACATGAAATAGTGCCAAAGGATTTCTATAGTACAAAAAAAAAAAGAAAAAGAAAAAAGAAGATAAATGTGCTTTAACTTTGGGTACCAGAAAATTGATGTTCATGTCAATGATTGCTTCTTGTACTATGATAAGCAAAGCAAAGCAAAGCAAAAATTTAACTAGCCTAATGTGTGAAAAATCCCATTATGAGCCAAAGAACATGGTTGTTGTGAGGCAAAAAGATGTTTCAAGAAATTTTTTATGGTACCTTCCAATTACCCTGAGACTATAGTGGCTATACATGTCTAGGAACATGGCAAAGCACATGACATAACATTTAAAATGCCGTGAGGATTCTAATGAAGTTATTCACCCTATGAATAGTAAGGTGATGAGCTGAATTTATATACATATTATTGTGAAATTTTTGCCTTGATATTATTGATTTTGGATGAGTTTTATGAGATTTTACTTGATTTTACATAATTTTCATTATGGGTAGGAAATGACTTAATTGGAAGAAATCATAATTTTTAAGAGCAAATTGCAAAGAAAAAAAGTTGATGATTAAGTTGTGTAGAATTCAGAAGTTAGGGACCAAGACTATAATTTTACCATTAACAGAAATTACTTGGAAGGCCAAAAACCCGACACATTGATTGCAATGCGCGCTTAATAGAAGGTGTTGGCACCTAGTTGAAGGTATTGACCCCTTACGTGATTTTCAAAAATCCATGGCTAATTTATTATTTTGGGTGTGGGTCCTACTTCCATTCCAATTAGGGTTTCTAAAATCCTATAAATACTCATTCAAGTTCATAATTGGGAGAGAGCTTTGAAGGTTGGTGGCAGCCCTCTTTTGGGCATTATTGGAGATCAAGATAGAGGTTCAATCAATAATAGAAGATCAAGGAGTTTAATTTCCTCAAATTGAGTTTTGTTTTTCCTTAGATTCTTTTTATCTATAATTTGATATTTGAGTGTTCATAATTATGATTTCAAGTTTCATTATTTTTATTATGAACTGATTTAGTCAACTAGGGCTAAGATGTAGCCTAATGAATTCAATATAGGTTTTTTTTATGATTTTTACACTTTTGAGATTGCTATTCCATGATGAGTATATATTATTGTTTTTAATGCTTTTTAATGGTTGATCACCATTAAAACTAATTTGGAGAGCATAATTGAGATCAAGAGGAGATTTTATGGAATAACTTCTAGTATTATATACCGTGAATTGAACAAAAACTAGAGATGGACCAACGTGATTTGTTTAGCATTAGTGATAAATGGACTTAATTTTCTATGTAAACTATGGAATTTCATAAAACATAATGCATCTTTATCTATTTAAATTTACATAGAGATATAATGGGTTAATATATTAAGATAGGTTTGGTATAACTTGAAAAAATATATCGAATAAGATAGAAAATCTTGCTGTCATATAAATAGTAACATCTTGAAAGTATAATAATTGAAAATGCATGTTAATTGATTATGGTAAGGTCAATGCCTTAATACCTCATATTTTCATTAATTTTATTTTAATTGTGATTTCCTTCTTATCATTTTTAATTAAAGCTTCTTTCTTTCAATTGTTCAATTAAATTTAGCTTAATTATTTTGCTATTTAATTAATCACAATTCTCATGGATTCGACACTCTACTTATCATTATATTTCTTGGAGTGACTAGTACACTTGCTAGAGTGATTTCAATGCATCATGAGGCATGGAAGCACTTTGATGAAACTTATCGAACATTTGTTGAAGAACCTAGAAATGTTAGACTTGGGCTGTGCACAGATGGTTTCAATCCATTTGGCACCTCTACATCACCTTATTCTTATTGGGTTGTCTTTTTTATAGTATACAACCTTCCTCCTAAATTGTGCATGAAGTTGGAGCATATATTCTTTACCATGATAATTGCTATACCTAAAAGTCCAAGGAAAAACATTAATGTCTTGCTTAAGCCATTAATTGATGAACTTAAGGAATTGTGTATAGGTGGAATTGAAACTTATGACAACTTCATACAACAAAATTTTATCATGAAAGCTACATTGTGTAATTGCACCAAACCAGAAGTCCTTCTTCAGTCCATATCTGCACTCCGGATTGACCTGCAAAGCCTCGAGATGGGTTCTCGGGGTAGACACTCTGATGCTTAAGTCAGCAATAATCGGGGCTACCTTTAGAACGAAGAAGAAATGAGCTTGAGGTTGGTTTCAATCACCTTTTGGCGAGGCCCTTGAGGGGTATTTATATGTTCCAATGAAGAACCCACGTGGCATGCCAAGCAAGATACTCGGGATTCGATGTGTATCTCCAGGCAGTTATTTCGGGACTGGGAGATTGAGGCAAGCAAGATATTCAGGATTTGATGTGCATTTCCAGGCAGTTATTTTGGGACCGGGAGATTGAGCCAAGCAAGATATTCGGGATTTGATGTGAAGATGTCCACCGTAACTGTTGTGTAGCTGTTCGAGCGGGAAACTCTAGATTTACTTTTCACTCCGGTTGTAAAGGAATTACTGTCATTCGTCCGAGGTTGGGCACCTCGGCCCTGTCCTTACACTATTCCCCCCCGAAGTCATTCACTTGTGAATGATGTGGTTGGAGATGATAAGGGTGGTGGAGAAAGGAAAGAAGACGAGAATATTAAAAATGGATGATAGAAGTAAAACTAAAGGGCTGTAACTTTACATGTATGGATAACCATAGGCAATATTTAGTTATGAGGCATAATAAAAAGTAATGACGGGAGTGATGGTGGTTGTAGCCAAAGCAAAGCATGTGGCACGGAGTCACTGTGGCTAGAGCCAAAGTAAAACGTGGGACACAGGGTCACTGTGGTCGGAGCCGAAGTAAAGCGTGTGGCACGGGGTCACTGTGGCCGGAGCCAAAGTAAAACGTGTGACACGGGGTCACTGTGGTCGGAGCCAAAGTAACATGTGTGACACGGGGTCACTATGGCCGGAGCTGAAGTAAAACACTTGGGTTAAAATAGATAAGAGTAAGCAAGAGTGTGGAAATGGGCTTAAGTGGGCCCACCTGGGAAGTCTGATCGAGACGCGGTACGTGACGCGACAGTTGCCCTTTGAAGGACGTGCATAATAAATGCCGCCGTAAAAAAAGATTACTGCAATAGCCTAATGGGTTTATTAAAAAACAAATCGTCAAGTTCGAAACGGCACCGTTTGGGGCTAACCATTGAATTCGAAACGGTGTCTCTGAAACCGTTAGATGGAGTTAATCACAGCCATTGAGGCATATTTTGCCTTTGGTATAAAAGGCTAGACGTTTGTAAAAAGGGGCTTTTTACTCTTGCTATTTTGCTTGTAAATTCTTGTTAAATCTCTGCGGTTTCATGCGGTTTGCGCTTTGTTTGGGGCTTCAACAACAATTTCCTAAGACCGAAATTAGGTAATGTTTATGAATTTTTTATTTTGATTTTGTCGAAGTGTTATTCTCCTTTCTCCCTTTCTGTGTTTGATGTTGGGGTTTTTGAAGGAAATTAGGGTTGGGAGTGAGAATGCATTGAGTGTGTGAGAATTTGTAAGGGTCCTGACTCTGTTCCTCCTCATACTTTATGCAGAAATTGAGGAGATGTCTTCAGAAGGGACCATGAGTGTAGTGGGGAGTGAGGTGATTCCCTTGGATTACGGGAGCATGGATTCGGAGAGCAGTCCGTCTTCAACTAGTTCGGAGAGGACGGTGGAGGAGAGGAGGGATGAAAGAGTAGTAGAAGAGGAGGAAAATGAGATCCCCTCGAACATTTTGGAGGCCGGGAGTAAGGTAGATGGGTGCTATGACCCAGATTTAGAGATAGTTTCTGAGGTGGGGATATGTGAGCGAACTAGGTAGTATGAGTAGCCTTAGGGGGCTGGTAGGGAATTGTAAACTTCCGCACCATGTCCTAATTAGGCCTGCCGGGGTGAATGAGAGGGCATGCTCAGCACCCCGAGACCATTGGATGCCCATATACGTCCATTACCTGATTGCAGGGCTTAGGTTTCCCATTCCAGAATTACTGGTTGGGCTGTTATTAGATTACAGTATAAGAATAACCCAATTGACCCCAAATGCCATAAGGGTAATAGTAGGCTTTCTTGTATACTGCCGAGCTCGGGGGGTTGGGGTTCCCACAGTAAATATGTTCAAACATTTTTTTTATAATAAAGGCTGGGGGTAGGGGGAAAAGGGGTGGTACTACTTCGACCCTCGGTCGTCCAATAAAGGGAATAGGAGTTTATTCTCCGTCATCCATCAAAGGATGGAAAGAAAAATTCTTCTTTGTGGATGACACTGAGTGGAGTAGGGGGGATGCCGAAGTAGAGCAATTGTCTGCTTGGAAAGCTAAGAAGACCAAGCAGAACAATTATAAGCTGAATGAGGATGAGGTGGAGGAGGTTAAGAAGCTGGTGAGGGAGGAGGGAGATGTGGTAGATATCATGTACCTCACCAGTCTAGGGGCAATAGAGGTTGCAGAGCTCTATGGGCCAAGCTCATTGAGCGAAGGTTTGTTTGTTTGCGCTCTGTATAGCTTATTTGAAACTGCAATTAGTGTGTTTTAACACTTATTTTTATTTTGCAGCTAAAATGGACAGTTTTATAAATGCTGCTGGAGGGCTGGCTATCCCAAAGAAGCCAAGGAAGAAGTCAAAGACTTCAACTGTGGCAGAAAAGGAGGGGGCAGATAGGGAGCGACTGTCCAGCAACTCTGCCCGAGCTTTGGAGATGCAGCCAAGGCCAAAGCCGGTGATGGGGGGCAGTGAGGAGGTGAGCGAGGAGGAGAGGGAGGAGGTGGCACCGCTCCATAGGAAGAAAAGGAAGGTGGCAGAAACAGAGGTTAGGAGGGATGAGGTGGTTAAATTCGTCCCTTGGCCTTCACCACCTGAGATTGATCCGGAGCTCAAGGAGAGGGAAGAGGCCGTGGTTCGAGGTCCTAGCAAGGGCAAGGAGCTCATCCCTCCACCTTCATACCAGAAGAGTTTGTTCGAGGCAATGAACACGACCGGAGCTAAACGATTCCTCAACGCCATGCTTCCTGAGGTGGATAGGAGGCAAGCTAGGCAAGAGGCGGTGAGCCACTTGGGTGCCCGCGTTGTAAGGCACACCTTGGAGGTATGTAGAGAAGTTATGGTTCATTCAGGTTTTACCTTGAACTTTATGACCTTTGCGTTTGAGTTCTGACCTCTGTCTACATTGTAGAGTGCGAGCTGGATCAATGCTCTCGTGTAGGAGTATGCGGAGAGCGTAAGAGATTGTGCCAACTGGCAGAGGCAATGTGAGGCCTTGCTAAAAGAAAAGGAGGAGCTGCAAAAGGAAAAGGAGGAGCTGCAGAAGAGGAATAATGATATGCAGAGGAGACTGGACGAAGTGCTGCCATCAGTAACTGAGCTCCAGAGTGATAATGATGTCTTGAGCACAAAACTCGTTCTCGAAGAACGCAAGAGGAAGATTTGTGAATAGAAACTTGAAGCTCAAGACAAGTATATAGAGAACATGAAGAAAGGAGTAACGGAGCTGAAGAAGAACGTGAACCTGCTGGTTCACAATGGGATGGAAGAGCACATTGGCCACTTCCTCAACTCCAGCGTCTTCGAAAACATCATCAACCTCTACCAGCTACCGACCGTGATCGTGGCCTTCACCAACTGTAGAAAGAAGGTGAAGGCCCAATACCCAGAGGTGGACGTGACGACGGTCACTTTTGGGGAACAAGAAGAAAGGGTGGAAGAGGATGGTGAGAGCCTCTTTGCTGACTTCCGACCTCTGATCAAGCTAAGGTGGGAACATGACGTAGAGGGGCGTACTATCTTCCCTCCAACCTTTGATGTGGGGCTGGTAGCAGTGGAGGAAGAAGAAGAAGAAGAAGCGGAAGGTGCTGGAGTGGAGAATGAGGTAGATCTGGCCGGAGCTCAGCCTCCCGTAGTTCATCCAGTCTCCTCTGATGAAGTGCAGCAGCTAGCTCCTCCTGAAGCGGAAGTGCCGCCTCTGCCATCTGGAGATGAGCCACCCCCACCCCCACCACCTCTTCCTGCTGAGGAGCAGCCTCCTCCGTCAGCTGATTAGATTAGGATTTATTTTTGCGTGATAGTTGTAAGGAACACTTTTGTTCATGAGATTTTATTATTTTATAAAATTTTGAACTATTTTCGATATTCAGTGTCTGATGTTTAGTATTCTTGATAGTTGTTGTGTTTCAAATGAGTTACTTCGTATAAAAGGAATGGACTTGAAATAGCGAACTGACCTCAGACACAACAAAATGAATAGCAAGGGCTGTGACTTCGGACCTCTATATAGAGATAAGAAAAGATGAAGTAAATCACTTCAACTGAGTCACTTCGGATATGAAGTGAGATTCATTAATGAGGTAAATAAATGGAGCTCGGGTACACATTGATCAGAAGTAATTATGCTTATAAAAATAAGACAAAATTCACTGGAAAGAAATGTATTAAGGGTAGAACTTCTTCAAATTATTGGCATTCCATACTCTAGGAACCCTTTTGCCCTCAGTGCCTTGTAGGACATAAGCACCTAAGTAGGGCACCTCGGCCACAATGTAGGGGCCTTCCCAGTTTGGTGCTAGCTTTCCAAATCGAGTTTTGAACCCCGTTAGACCAGCTTTCCTGAGAACAAGGTCTCCTACTTTGAATGCTCGGGGTCGAACTCGTTTGTTGTAGAAGTTTGCTATTTTCTACTTGTAGACTAGGGTTCGAAGTCGTGCTTCTTCTCTGACTTTGTCAAGCAGATCAAGGTTCTCCCGAAGCAATTGTCCATTTCGTCCTTCATCGAAATGGGTGACCCTGAAGCTTGGGACTCCTATCTCGATAGGAATGACTGCTTCGGTACCAAAGGCTAGATGATAGGGTGTTTCACCTATTTCAGTTGATTATAACTTTAGAATGCGCTTTACGCGTTATGCATATTTGCTTTAAGGTAAAATCGTAGCAAAAGAAGTAAAATAATATAAAATTAATCAAATAGGCCAGGTGTAGAGTAATACCCGTGGTAGTTCGGCTCGTAGTTCTGTATGCCCAGAGGACGTTGTTAAGCTCGTCTGCCCATTTGGCCTTGTGTTGTTCCAATCTCAGCTTTATACCTTCTAAAATGCATTTGTTAACAAATTCTACCATGCCATTGGACTCCGGATGGTAAACTGAGGTGAACTGTAGTTTGATCCCGTAGCTGGAACAGAAATCTCGAAATGAGGAGCAATTGAATTGGGTTCCATTATCAGCGACAATCTGATTCGGGATCCCATATCTGCAAATAATCGAGCTGAAAACAAAGTCCTCAACCTTCCTGGAGGTAAGACTGGATAATACCCGAGCTTCAACCCATTTTGTGAAGTAATCCACACAAACTAGGAGGTGGGTTACACCCCCTATCCCCTTCATAAATGGACCCAAAAGGTCAAGACCCCACTGAGCAAATGGCCAAGGTGCTATCAGAGTGGTGAGCTCTTCTGCAGGCTGGTGAATTAGATGTGCGAAGAACTGACATTTCTAACACCTCTGTACGAACTGAGTGGCATCCTTGTACATGTTGGGCCAATAATAACCCTGTCTAAGGACTTTATGAGCCAATGTTCAAGCGCCTATGTGGCTACCGCAAACACCTTCGTGCACCTCCCTGAGTGCGTATTCCGCTTCATAGGGATTCAAGCACCATAGAAGAGGGAGTGAAAAAGATCTCTTATAAAGGACCCCATCAATAAATGTATACTAAGATGCTTTCTTCCTCAATTTTATTGCCTCCTGCCTATCCACAGGTACTACCCCATCTCGTAAATAAGAGATGATTGAGTCAGTCCAGCTTGGCCTGTTTGGGTCTGTGCTAATCTCCATCACCCGTGGTTTCATGAAACTTGGTGCATCTAAGACTTCCACAAAAACTGACTTGGAATTTAAAGAGCTATCTGAGGCAAATTTAGAAAGTGAATCTGCCTGTTCATTCTCAGCTCGGGGAATTTTGCTCAGACAGAACCTCTGAAACCTGCACTTTAGCTCGGCCACGAGGGCTACATACTTCATCATCACCGGATCGACAACTTCGCTGACTGAGTTGATTTGATTCACCACTAGCTAGGAGTCACTGTACACCTGGATTGCGCTGATTTTCAACTCCAATGCTAGTTGTAAACCAAGTAGCAGAGCTTCATATTCAGCCATGTTATTTGTTGCATCGAAGTTGAACTTCAGGGCATGTTCACTTCGGTACCCATCTGGGCCAATCAAGAGAGCACCAGCTCCTGAACCTTTGCTACTAGATGCCCCATCAACATATAAGGTCCACTCGTTGGGCTTTGGATTGGGGGCAGGATGACGTGGAGTACATTCTACAATAAAATCTGCTAGTGCCTGAGCTCGGATCGCAGATCTCTGCTGAAATGTTATCTCAAACTCCTCCAGTTCCACTGCCCATTTAATTAATCGTCCCGAGCACTCTGGCTTTTGTAGAATCTGTCGAAGAGGTTGGTCTGTGAGGATAATGATCGGGTGTGACTGGAAATACGGCCTCAACTTCCTGGCCGAGGTGACAACTACTAAAGCTACTTTCTCAGCAATTGATACCTCAGCTCTGCTCCATGCAGTACACTACTGATGTAATAGATTGGCTTCTGTTGTTTGGCTTCCTCTCGTACCAAGACTGAGCTAATGGCTTCATCTGAAATTCCTAGATACAAATAGAGAATTTCTCCATCTATGGCCTTAGTTAGAAGAGGTGGGGAGCTAAGATAAGACTTTAGCTCGTCAAATAC